TCCGAGGATAGACGAGAAAAGCAACGCGGCGGAACAGTTGGTTTCATTGATATGCAATTTTTCTGAATTGAAGATGTTGATTGCTTGGTTTTGAAGTTGAAATGCTTCAGAGAGATATGGGCTGGAGTTTGCTGGGTTCAGTACGGCCAAATGACGGGCGGAAATAGCCAGCATAGCGTGAAGCAGCCAGGGGAATTTGAGTGCCAATTTATTCACCATTGCTGTCGCGGCCGAGTCGAATTCGTTATCTAGTTCGGGTATTGCGATGGAGAATTTGTAGTGTAGGAGAAACTCCATGTGGTTCATGTTTACAGCGGTGCCCGAAACTGAGCTCGAACTCGGAGCGGGAAGCTCATCGATGAAATGAGTGTCATGTGGTCTCAAGATTATTCTCGGCTGTGCCGCCGAAGGTATGTCTGCGTCATCCGAGCGATGAGTGCTCCCTGGGCTGGCCGCGGTTGATTCTGCCGTTGTGCTGGGAGACGCAACTGTAGTTGAGGAACTCACATACTGACATTTTCGCTGAGTAATAGCGCAATGCGCACATGTTGGTCGCTTTTCATCACACTTTATGTGACGACGTTTGCATTCTCGGCAACCAAGACGAGATTTCTTGTGAGCTCGGCGATTCATTGGGATGCTGTCGGCAGCATCTGATGAGATTTGTTATGCCACGAATCCGCGGATTCTGGCCCGGTCGTCGCTCAATAACGTAACTAGGTGGTAAACAATAAATACTAGCGATAAGCCCCAGCCAGTAGAACCAGAGGAGAAATGCGGGTATCAAATACGCGGATTCGTATAGTTCTCGTATACTATTCGTATTCATAGTTGGAGCTCATCTTCATCCCAACACTGCTGATTGGCTTAATCCCAGCCCTAGCCTATATAATGCTACACTATGCATGTATGTATTTACATTGAATTAACGCTCGCCCTATTCGTTGGTGGGCTGTGGAGCGCAGGCTTGAGTCTTACAATCGGATGGCACCCTTTAAACCTCCCACACCAACTACTAGTTTATTATGTACATACTTACTACTACTATGAGCGTAAGAGTCCGTTGTGAGGTCTTAGACGCGGGTAGATTTAAAAGCCTCTTCATCGGGCTAAGCCTTGCCAAGAAATATTAACTCCAGTATGACGTAAAGAAACGTAACCTAGCGTGGCTTAGATAAGTGAGGATGAAGCTCAATGTGGATTAGCAGATACACTCTCTTCCCCTATTCTGACTCGGTGATTTATCTCTTTACACAATCTCTACTTATCTCTGTCTCTCCGCATCAGGACTTCAGGCAGCATAGTATTTGGTAGATATTACTTACGATGGCTCTTTTCAACTACTTTAATAATAGACACGGGATTCAAGTATAATCTCAACGGAATTATAAGAGAGATTACCTTGTTAGAGAACTCACCGCATAGAATGTCCAATCTATTTGCGTTTTATCTGGTTTACTATGTGGCTTTTATCTATATTATCACTCCTTCCTTACAAAACTGCAAACATACGTTACTGTATTTTGAGGTCTATAAATAAAATAGGACTTGTGCTAGCCGATCGCTGATGTAAACATGGGTATCAACTCGTGCACTAGGCATCTAAGCCACGCCATCCACTTGAACGAGCTTGGCAACATCTAGATGCGGTGAGCACGATTACATGATAAGCGGCTATATAATTATCAAGATATCATCATCATGCTCATACGCAGTGTATTGATGCTTGGCTGCAAAAGGGAGTTTACAATATTCATAGCTACTCACCAGCAGTCCGCTTTTTTTGCAACTGTCCTCATCTTTCAATCGACTAGGTAATATAGATCTCACAAGGTGTTCGATACGATGCAGCCAGCAGCCCCATCAGACAAGGCATTAAAACGCCGGGCTCAGAATGCTGCCGCTCAGCGCATCTACCGTACGCGTTTGTATGCATGCATGGATAACGTGGCAATAACATGCTAATAGTTGGGGTACTAGGTGCAAAGCAAAAACAAAAGTTGCGAAGACTTGAAGCTTTGACAATTGCTGCCCTAACATCATCCGAACCGTCGTTAGCGGAAGATACATTCAATATAAATCGGCGACATGAAGACCAAGTGTCAACTCTAGAGTTACAATCACTCGTTTCCATAGGGCAGACTTCGGTAGGCCCGTCTACGAGCCAGTCGGGTGAACGGCCAGCTTATAAGCCAGAAGACGCGAGTATTAGTTTATTCTCACGTGTACATGCTCTTCTAGCCTCATGTAATCAGAGGGAACGTCAAACATATCACATTGTCGTGATGCGCGAACGTTTTACCATACGTGATGTCATGAAGTACGGGCTCATCAAGCTTGGCTACGCTATGAATTCTCAATTGTTCGAGAGTGCTAAACATGCTTCCACACGAACCTGGTTGCAACAAGTTATCGTCGTTGTTGGCGATGTCGATATCATTGCCGTTCTGGCCACGGGCATAAAGTTACTCGCAAGTTTCCCGTTACCATCGACACTACTCGATGGGGACGACGATGAGGAAATATTCCGGCGCATCATTTTCACTCCACAATCCAACACCCTTTCAAACCGCATCACGCTCGCGACGGTATCCTTAGGGTCCGCCTTCTTCGCCAATGCGATGCTCCTGGGTATCCCGATTAACACTATGATGGAAGATGAGAACGTACCGATGCAACCGCAGGCACTACAGTGCACGAAGCCAGATCTCCTGCCCACCCCTGCCCAGCTTGCTATTGATCATCACCCCAGTTTTGACGTCATTCCTTGGCCGGCCTTCCGCTCCAACGTCTGCATTGCTCTCGCGCAAGATCCTCCGTTGATCGACGACGACGAGCTCTGTCTCGATTTGATGAACGAGGGTGTTCGTTGCTGGGGTTCAACAGCCGGAGGTTCACTGCACGGCCGGGGACAAGGCGCACCCTGGGATCAGCGTAGTTGGGAGGCGGCTCCGTGGTTTCTCGAGAAATGGGAGATATTCACTGATGGGAGAAACGGCGACATGTGGAAAAATAGTGAATGGTGGAGTTTTATGCGCAACTGAGGAAACAAAAATACTTAAATAAGTGTGCAGAAACAGAATGAAACCCATCGAGTCTACTCGAGATATTATACACAGGGGCGATTGTTACCCCATATTGGGATGATTCTCAGTCCTCGTTCCAAAGATATCATGCATAACGCTCGACCTGCTTTTCAGTCCACTCCCAGTATTCCTTTCCCAGGCTTTCTTCGCACAGATCCTTCCTAGCCCTGCTTGGTCGTCCGTATGGTCCAACTAGAAGTTATCGCACAAAATGTTAGAAATTTTTCTTTTCTATTTCATTATCTTCCTCTGTATGATCATGCAGGATATATACGTACCAAAGGCACCATTTTCAACCCTGGAATCTAGCCCAGCATATAGCTGCGTATACGCACCGTATTTAGGCTCTTTACCAAGAATCTTCTAGAATGAGCATTAGCATATGATCTGGCGTCTAAATGTATTTATATCTTGCTCTTAATTTTATAAACTTACCACAAGACGGGCTTGCCAGGCGGGCATTGTCCGCTGTAGGTCTGTCGGGAAAATCCCAGGATGAAGTGACTGTGACATATCTAATCAGCCCCTTACTCTGCCAAATCATGGCGACAACTCAAATATCCACTCACCACGTGCAGGACGCCATCGCCATTGAGCTCACTTCGCCTAGCGGCCTCACATGAGTGTAGAATATTACCGGCTTTACTACGTTCGTACTTCTGCCACGGAGTCTCGTCTCGGTGGTAATCCATATTGGAGAAGTCGATTGCAGGCTTAGGGGCCGATTCGGCTGCCTGAGAGGAAACCCAGACCACGCGCACCGAATTTGGCCGGGTTGAACATGCAGTCGAGACAAGGATCGGGTTGAGGCACCGGGTGAATAGAAACGTCCCGATACTGTTCACGCCCAGCTGTAATTCGTAGCCCTGGACAGTCTTAGATCCCGCTGGTGGGGTCATGACGCCGGCATTATTGAAGAGGACATCAAGGCGATTTTCCTTGGAGAGGAAGTCGTCGGCAGACTTCTTGATCGTCGCAAGATCGCCTAAGTCTAAGTAGAGGTAGGCCAGAACGCCCCTCGAAGTAGGATGGAGCTGGCGGAGTTCTTCAATAGCCGCCTTTGCTTTGGACTCAGATCGCGCAGCCACGTATACTTTCGCATGCTTGGAGTATAATATCTTTGCTAACTCTTTACCTAGGCCACTATTGGCCCCTGTCACGATAAAGACCTATCAGGATATACTGGTTAGGAAAACGATGTAGCTTCGTGTGGCCCAGGTGCAAGTTCAACTAACTTTGCCTTCTTGTGAGCCCAGGTTGTGCTCGGTCAAGAGTGGTTCCCCGGGGAACATATTCTTCAATGTGCTAGCCATTGTGCTGGGATTAATATTGATAGGTTTCGGTTGTGTCCGAGGAAGCTTTGAGTATACAGGTCGAGGTAAAGAAGTGGGATGAGGTGCTCATTGTTGAATGTCATGATTTCCTTCCCTGGGCGCTCCTTATATAAGTGTTAAGACTACTATTTTTGACCATCATTTCTTCGGCTTTAATCGATTCACATGCATCTTGTCTTGTCTTTTCTCTTCAACTAGAAGCGTAGACTAGCGTGATGCAGGGGACGTGAGCAAAGAAGTCATATTCGAGTAACCCGACTTAGCGGCGTTCTACCTTTGGTAGCGTCAAAGTATAGTACTGCAACCCGATCCAGTCGCACGGCTTCTTGATCCGAAGCGAGTGGCACTCTCAATTAATCGTCGTTGATAAATCCGAGCTTTACCTAGTACTGCCCCTAACCGACCGAGCACCTCTAAGAGGTCCATGCAATAGCAGGCATAACAGCATCGTTCATTCAATAAAACAGTATTGGCCTCGTGGCCTAATGGCTAGGGCGCTAGATTTCGGTGCTTACAAGCTGATTCTCTAGAGATTGTCGGTTCGAGTCCGGCCGAGGTCGCAAAATCATTTTCCATCCAATCCGAATTGGTGTAGTGGCTAACATTTGACGCTCTCAATACTTGCTTTCGAATGATACCATTGTTGGTCGTTGTGTGATATAGAAAGTCCCGTCAAGCTCAGGGTTCGATTCCCTAATTCGGAGTCATAATACTGTTTACTTTTTTTATTCTATATAAGTAATAGAAACTTTAGAGTTGCCTGTTCTTTTTCTTTATTTTAGTTTACCGTAATGTTTGCAAAGGCCTGGGTATCGTTATATTGTATTATCTTGTTTATCGTTAGCTATAAGAAGAAACTTCTTATATTTAACCCGTTAAATTAACCAGCCTATGTACACTAGGTACATATATATCAGCACCGTCCCAGGCGCAAACACGTTACAACATTATCACTACCTATGTTCTCCACCAGAGTCACCCTCGCGCTCATTCAGTTTACACCTCGAACACGCCGCGGGCAAAGCGGAGGCCCGGCAGCTACAAAAGAGAGTGGTCAAGAGTAGCAGAATCATTGGGACCAACCGTACGGCTATGACGAGTTAACAGGTGCCTTCATACCAAGTGTTCAATATGTCTCAGGGACTCTCCGTAGGTTCACTGATATCTAGCGGGAATGTCAGTCGCTAAATACGGCTTCCTATCTGACCAGAGACTTAACTAAAAAGAAAAGAAAATTTTAACGAGACGGAGGGAGTCGGTCGTTAATAAAAAATAAGAATATAAAATCAAGCAATTCATAATACTTGTGGCTAACAATATTAATTTATTAATTAGCAGAGTTGCGTTAAACATTCTATACATATCCCTAAGATAAGGGCTACTCATCTTGTTCGCTCAGCTTACCTTGCCGCACCCTTTCCGATCATCTATAACCCACATATAACCAATCTATCGCTTCCTTTACTAACCCTTATAAAACTCTATCAATTCATTGGCTCCCATAAATATCCGGCGGCTTTGATCTTGTTCGCCTAGCAACTTGCTGAATATTCTTCGATGCCGTGAACCAGAGCCGCAGCGCCACGACCAAAATAGCATTCGAGGCAGCTTTCTATTTTGCCTAAAGTGGGGGATGAGCCGTAACGCCGATGCGTATAAATCATCTCAACTTTTGGCGTCACACCGCATGACTTCGACTCTCCCAGTGACGGACGATCGTCCAAGTTTCACATAGTGATCTTCTCCCTTGACATGCTTCTCGATAGCATCATCTGGTAGAATAACTTTTCCGTCAAGAATGGCTTCCGTCTCAGAACTAATCACCTGAGAGAGCGTGTGCCAAGTTTCCCCAAGGAGAGTACAGCGCGAATGTCTCAAGAAGAGTGTCGTCATAACTCCTATAGCGACAAGGGATGATGTTGCCAAGATGATTACAACGAGGAGCCCCAGAGACTGTTGAGGTAGTTTTGTCGTTTTGGATGATGTGACGTTCGATTTATAGGGCTGGTCATACTTGTCGAGGAGATCATAGTAAACCGTTTGCCCTAAGATGGTGTAGACCGTCTGTAAAGCCACAGCTGCTCGGTTTGTCCGATTCAAGATGGACGAAAATATAGTAGCATACACGGGGTTTGCACTCTGTGTCGTGTAACCATCGCAAGGGTCGCAGGCGGTTATCGTCGCATTACCCCTCTGCGCTTGGGCCATGTATAACAGGTAGGACTCCATCACTGAGGTATTGTTTTGCCCGAGTGAAAGAGACTGATTCTTGTCAGCTATAAACATGGAGTTCGGGTCATCTTCAATGTGCCCAATGCTGAATACTCCTCTTTCCGTGAGACTCTGGATAGAAGGGTCGGCCCCGAGTAGCGCCTGAATATCGGTTGTGTCGATCGCTAACCCAGATATAATAACCTTCTTCTCTGCGGTATTTGTCGTTTTGTCTACCGCCAATGTGAGATTTACCTTGGAAAACATGACGTTGAGTCCCATAAAGCATAAGCTGATATTTACGAAATATCCCGGCTCTAGCTCAAAGTTTGACCATTCCCTATTCACAGTATAGTTGGGAGTTAGTATAGGTTGCCCCCAACTCTCACTCCAATAGCTTTCATTGATATTACTGCTAATGACTAGAATGGTGGAGGCTTCTGGCCCCCAAGGGTCGTCGTTCAAATCCCAGTAGGACGCCGAATACACCGTCATGTTGATGAGATCTGGGAAACAAAACGAGTTGACAGAAGATTCGTATCTATCGCTGACCTCTCCAGGTCGGACGAAAATGTTGCAATCAAAAGAAGCAGGGAGGCAGCGTTTAGAATTGCACAGCCTTGGAGAAGAAATCCCGGCTCGGGCAAAGGTTTCCTCAAATTGCAAACTCCCTTCTATATAGCCGTAGTCGAAAAGGTTCTCAACGTGTTCTGCCGCGAATTGGCTGTTGGAGAATACGGGAGGCATACACGCGACCCTTGAGCTCAGGACAAATGCCTGCCCTTCGTAACTCCGTAACGAAGTCCTATTCTCTGCGTCGGAAAAAGGCAATAACGCTCGGCGCTTTAGCCCTGTGTCGCTCAGGCCACGTTCATTTGGCTGTGCGAAGTAGCCTGGAGGAGATTCTCCAAACGAAGGAAATGCACGAGGCCGTTGACTCCAATATGGAGTTTTAATTTCGGTCAAAGTGTCGACTGTAGCTGTCAGGTTCAGGAGCACGGTCGAAGGAAATTGTACTAAGCTCGCATCTCTCAAATCCGAAAGTAGAATGGTTGATGTGAATTGTATTCCAAGCGCTACAAGTCCTAAAAGCACAATGAGGATGGACTCTGGGTGCCAGGATATCTGAACGCGAGCGTCTCGTAAAAGGGTGAAGATGAGTTTCCACGGGCCATCGTTCACGCTCCGGGCAATCGAGAATTGTGCAGCTTGGGACTTGCGTACCCTGCACTTCTCCAGAATTAGAGCCGCACACATGGAGGTGCAGAGGGTGGTTTGAGTGGCAATAGTCACACGCATGGTAACAGACCCCAAGGTGATAATTTGAGGGAGCGAGTCGCGAAGCATAATCTTTCTCCATAACGAAGAAGCATGCTCTCCACCAACACCCGGCCCTCCGCCATACCACAAAAATGCCAGGAATGACAGTGCGGTAAGCACAATTACAGCCCCTCCCGCAAGGATAAGAGTGGAAAGAGTACTAATGGCCCTATAGGTTGGTGTTTTGGGGAAGAACGCTTCGTTTATTGTCGGTCCTGTGTTGGCATTTTGACGGACCGTCGAGTCGTTACTAGCCGGCTCAGATGCGCTCACAAAAGTTGAATTAGATCCATTGGACGATATAGCCTCAAGTATTGGAAATTCGGTAGGAGAGGTCACTGATCTAGATAACATTTCCGGTCTCGCGTCTGTGGTCGAGCTCTGAGGGACTGCAAACTGAGGTATAGAGCTGGAAAGTGTATCCATAGCCGGGACAATGAAGGTTATAAATTTATTAGGCAAAGAAGTGGTAACGGGGAACAATCTGAGGATTGAAGAAAATACCGATTGGAGCTCATGGCAATCCCGATCTTCTTATACTGAGAAATTTTGTGTATTAATAGTGTATAGTTCTATGTAACTCGTACATGGCATTAAATAGAAGTGGTCGGCTGCTTGCGATAGAACCATCGGGCGCGGTGAACATGAAGCCTCTTTGCGGGATGGAATCTTGAGGCGTCATGTCTGGAAAGTTCGAAAATGAGACACGCGTGGTAATACTAGCGGCAGTGAGCTGAACGTTATCTGAAACTGATGTCGACAGCCACAAGCCGTGTATATATGAACATGTGTCTAAGTCTTAATAAATATATCTATGAGCTATAAGTATCACCGATATTACACGGGGCTGTATGAGCTGAGACAAAGTAGACACGAGTCTCTCAAAGTGACTACGATATCCATAACTCTATTCTTTCGATAACATTAGCATACCATATTCAATCGCAACATAAGGCCCATACGGTTATGCTACTTATAGTAACAGACGGGCCGACTTGACAATGCTTGCTAGAGCAAGAGGGTCTGGCGCATTCGTGTTCTTAATACCACGCCTACAACCTCCCATAACCGACGGGGAGGCCCTTATCTAACTAATCACAGAAGAAGGAGCTAAGCGCAGGAAACACGGAGTCCTAGAAGAGGTAAGCGCAAACTCATAAAATTGCACGTAAAGAAAGAAAGAAAGGCTTCTTTAGACTTTGTCCTGCCGCAAGATTTCGGAACAGCAGCCACGATATCGTATTTAATCGGACCTTTTGAGGTTTGATGCTTGAGCTAATCTAATTTTGGGGAACATACTTAAGACATGTAAGCTCGCCGATTATCCTCCTCATTTCCCCTTGATTCGGTGAAGTTTTAGTCGCTATGGGAGATAGCCGATGTAGAAGCTCTAGAGTCTTGGTTAAATATAGAATTAAAACAACAAAAATAAGAATGGAAGAAAAAATAAAATAAGGGAGAAAGATGCTAAGACAATAGTTGAAGAGGCTTAACCTCCTATAGATTTTTAACCTCACAATTTTAAACTTGTACGGGATTCTCCGTATAGAAATCAAGCAGCAGTGTATAGCAAAACCAGCGAATACGGCGAAATGGGTTTAGTTTTCATTAACACGCGCTCCTAACAAGGCACACGCTAGATATCGCCAGCCATGTCTCGCTAGCCATACGTCTCAACCGACTCCCCTTCTTGTTCTCGGTGTTTTTGAAAGATAACGGAGTATAGCACCAAGCTACAATGCGAGCTTACAATGTATAGGTGGCGGCGCCGTCAGTTTATAGTATTACTTAACAGAGTTTTGCTCTATTCTCAGGGGGTTGCCATCATGTCACTATCATCTCAACTACTGTCTAACCCAGACCAAGATTATCTACATACGTGTCGTATTTGCGCCCACTCGCGAAGCTTGGGTTTCAATGCTCTCGTCAATCATTTATTATAGTAAGCTTTCATACTTATCCAATCCATCGCTCTGCTGTTTTTGTGGTTGCTGGGGAATCTGTGACGTCGGCGTCATTATATTCTTGCTCATATTTCTGTTGACCCCTGAGTTCATTATGCTATTCATGCTTCCAGCTGGTGGAGATATAGACCCAAAGCTCGATGATGATGCTTGACCAAAAGACGTCGATGAGACTTGCCGTTGTACTCCTCCGGATGGTGGTGGCGGTA